TGTGTGTGTGTGTGTGTGTGTGTGTGTGGGGGGGTTGTTTTATTGTGTCGGTGAACTTCCTGTGCTGCTGCTGTGTGACGGCGTTTTGAGTCCAGCTCTCGGTTCCTGTTCTTATTAAAGTGTAATGTCACAAAGTAAAAAAAAAAAAGCCTTGTACATGTTTGTATTAGTTAACTAATGAACGCTAATCATCATCATCATCTTTATCTTCACTATCACTAACTGTAGCTTCTTTTAATTTCCTCTGAGTCAGATGTTTTTTGTCATTCCAGTTGACGGTGGAGCTTCGGTCTGTTTGCCTTAACGTCGATCTGTCGCTCCGTTTGATTTATTGTAAAGAAAAGTTCAAAAATCACAGAATGAAAATGTTTTTGTTCCCATTCTTTTTTAAAGTGCACTGTATACGAATGTTTTTTCACTCTTATGTGACCAAAGCTTCCATTACTGATTCAAGATGGAGACGTGATGAAACAGAAATAAAGTGACAAGAAGAATAAAAGAGCTGATTATGAAACTCACAACATTTTAGTTGTTTAAACTTCAGCAGGTCTGTAATCCACCCTGGTCATACTGAGACTGAATAAAACTTTACGGACACTTTTCTTAAATCTTCTGTGTGAACACTTTACTGGGATCGTCAGAGAAAGAAGCACTCTGATTGGACTGACAGGTCAGACATCAGTGATTTTATTGGCTGACTGTTTCACATCATCTTCATGAAGTCAAAGTGTTTAGTGTGTCATGCACCATGAGAAACAAGTTTCCATTGCCATAACTCCACGACATGGAAACAGCAGGTGTAAAAATAAAATCATAAAATATCAGCAGAACACTGTACAATATACAAGGTACAGTTCAATAGTTTCTTCTTCTTCTGTGTTTTATTTGAAGTGTTGATCCATAAGAAGATATATTTGTGGTTTTAAAAACCAAAAACCATCTCAGTGTAGTTTTACATCTCCTCTCTCAGGCTTCTCTCTGGAGCTCTAGTAACAACAGGTCGGTGAGCCAATCAGAAGAGAGGAGACTCTGAGCCTCTCCTTTGATTGGCTGACTGTTTTCCGAGTGATCGAATAAAAATGAGAACAGACTTTAGGAGCATTTTGTTTTAAGTCCAACAATAAAAAAAGAACGTTTTTATTACTCAGAATAAAGGAAGGCAGGACCCAGATGTTTTTTTTAACTTATAGTTATTCCACATAATTAAGAAAACATATGTTTCACCGTCTCCATTAAAAACAGAATTTATGTGCAATGTATTCACATATGAACTATGGAGATTTGAATTTAGACAGGATCATTTAAATTTGATGTTAATACATGATGATGATGATAATAATAATAATAATAATAATAATAATAATAATAAATAGTTATTATTATTAGTAGTAATAGTACTAATAGTAATAGTAGTAGTATTCATAGTATGTCCCTTTTTTGCCGCTGTCTTTTGTGACGTCACTGTAACGTCACTCCGCAGCAGTAGGAGGAGGCGAAGAAAGACTTCTTCTGTGGTGTAAATAACTGCAGCGGTGGGAGGCTCACAAAACAAAAGCATGAGAGCCTCAATATTAAAATTTTAACAATAAAAATCAGCCTTTGATTCTAAATGTCAAACTGACAACATTTAGTAGTCGGCGGAGGTTTCTGTCATCAGCTGTCAGGTGTGAATCCTCAGGTGTGTGTCCTGCAGATGATGGTCGGAGCAAAAATAAACAACAAAAGAGGTTTACGGTTAAAGTCAGAACTCACAGTTCAACCATAATCCTTGTTTGTAATCTCAATAGTGTTTATTCACTGTTTCCTCGTTTGTCGCCTGTAGCGCTTTTATTGTGAAGGCTGTAACCGGAAGTAAATGTGTGCGTGCTCTTACTCTGACAGTGTGATGAAGCGCAGGAGCAGCGGGCTGAAAGCTGTTCACAGGACTCACAGTTTGTGTTAAAATGAGCTCTATCGGGACCGGGGTGAGTGTCTGAGTGTTTGTCTGAGCTGTAGCTCCGTGTTAACGTCTCTCTGGACGGTTCTGTGTCCGATTTTAATGCAGTTTATTGAAGAATCATTCACTTTTATACTGAAAATTCTCTCATTCATACAACATGTAGCCGCTAGCTAGCGTGTTAGCCTGCTGAGTCACAGCGAGGCCCGCTAGCAGGAGCTAACCTGAAATCGAAAGTACACAGTTACAAGTTTTAGTTGAGTTTAGGTGAAGTTTACAGTTTATGTTTTACATCTTAAACGACCAGATCAGAATACCGCCGAAGTGTCATTAAATAAATTGTCCGTGGAGTTACATAAATCAATGATGTTATCGTTGAGCAGAGTCTGTGCTAACAGTTAGCTCCGGTACATGCCAAACTCTGTTTAAAATACATGAGATTTGCATTGCGCTGTGTGTCGCCTGAAGTCAGCGCCCTCAACAAGATAAAATCCGACTTTCTGTAGATTATTCAAGTGTTCTGGATGGATCGGGCACCTTTTAATTTAACTAACAAACTTAATTAAGATAAAATCCAAACCTATAGATGTGGATCATTCATCTCCTGTTGCTCTCTGTAGGATAATATGGGAGGGCTGGAGTTCAGTTGATATCGATAATCATCCGATAAATGTAAATAAATTTTTGCCCCTGAGTGAAAGTTGAAGAAATCAAATGGTGAATTGTGGTTGTAAATTATTCTTTTTATCAGATCGTTACAAACTTTTGTGGAATATTTCAGAAATCTGAAGAATATTCAAAACAACTATAATGATCAAATCTAACCTTAATTAATCTAATGCGTCCCTCTATTATTATTCCTACCTGTGACTGGCAGTTAGTGATTTATTTCTGTGTGTGCTATCTTGGCATGGAAATTAATTATATAAAACATTCATTGATCATTAGTTATATTTCTATTTAGGATAATTGAATAGCAGTAATTATCGTTTTATTGTCCAGTCTTATAATATGAGGCTGAAATGTGTGTGTGTGTGTGTGTGTGTGTCCTGCAGTATGATCTGTCAGCCTCCACCTTCTCTCCAGATGGCCGAGTGTTTCAGGTGGAGTATGCGATGAAGGCCGTAGAGAACAGCAGGTGAGGTTCTCCACATCATTTCATATATAGACCAGCAGCAGTGTTCACCACTTTTCCCAGTCTGTATGTTTGAACCTGAATGCACCACGGCATCAACCTGAGCTGTGAACTGCTTCTCTCTGCACAGACGTTTGGAATATTGTGTTTAGGAACAAATTCATAGTTTCTTTCTTCCATTGGTCACAGTTACAGTGTTGTAGCTCTCTCACTGGCTGCCTGAAGACCTTTGTCATACAAACTGTCTCCTGTGTGTGTGTGTGTGTGTGTGTGTGTGCGCGCGCGTGTGTACAGCACGGCCATTGGTATTCGCTGTAAAGATGGAGTTGTGTTCGGCGTGGAGAAGCTTGTTCTGTCCAAACTCTATGAGGAGGGGTCCAACAAACGCATCTTCAATATTGACAGACACGTTGGCATGGTAACCACACACACACACACACACACACACACACACAGCTGTGCTGTAACAGCTGGTTTCTGCTCTCATTCTGGATTCACTTCAGATTCGTCTTTTATTCAGACTTTTAATTTGCAGACATGTGACAGTTGAACATCTCTGTTGATGGATGAATTTCTCTCTCTCTCTCTCTCTCTCTCTCTCTCTCTCTCTCTCCAGGCTGTAGCTGGTCTGTTGGCTGATGCTCGCTCGCTCGCTGAAGTTGCCAGAGAAGAAGCCTCCAACTTCAGATCAAACTACGGACACGACATTCCCCTGAAGGTAAACACAGGTCTCAGA